GCCAGGACCTCTGTCTCACCCACTCTAGGCTGAGGTCCCCTCTCTCTCAAGTGGACCCCTCCCTGAGTGGCCTGACTGGATCTGAGCCAGAACCAAGACTGTGCAGCTGCAGGTGCTGCTAGGGGCCCCACAGCCTGCTGGCCTGTCCTTCAAGGTTGGCCCAGGCTCCCATGCCACTCGGCTCAGAATCTGACTGGCTCTCTTCCCCCACCCCATGGGCCCAGAGGGAGGTCTCAGCTAACTGAGAGCTGAGTTCAAATCCTGATCCCAGACAGGGCAGCCATGTGCTCTGGGGGTGTCTCCAGCCCTGGCAGCTCCAACAAAGCCCAAAACCAAGGCCGGGGGCATGGACTCGTGAGTCCCTGCAAGACAAGGGACTGTCAGGTCCCTTGAGTGGAACACAGACTCCCCACCGATGGAGACCGGGGCCTTTTCACAGGCCCAATGGTACCTGACAACTGCTTGACTTCTACTTGTAGGGCCCAGCTGGCCTCTGAGATCCCCAAGGTCCTTCAAGAGGGCTCCTTCAGGTCTAGAACATTCCTGCCATAACCCTGCTTCAGTTCCTGAGTCTTGTGGATCACTGTCCTCCAGGGCTGCTGTTACCTGGACTTTCCCAGAAGCAAACCTGGGCTCTGGCCTCCATCCTGACTCTTAGGGCAAAATAGGAAGTTGTGGTGGAAGGAGGTTGGGATGGGGCCCAGGATGGAGGGGAACAGGGATTTGTTTTCCTAGAAGGGTGGCTGCCTTGAGCCAAGAAGGCACTTGGGTTTGGGAGGTCCTGTTGGGATCCCTAGTTCCCTCTGTGCCCATGGGGACAGCACAGCACAGAGTTAAAAGCTAAGGATCTATTGTCACACATCCTGGTTTAAATCTTGACTCTTGCTGGCTGTGTGATCTAGGGCAAGTTACTGAACTTCTCTGAGTCCCAGATTCCCTGATTGAAGTACTAGGATGAAGTAAAGAGCAAATACATTGTGTGCTGGGCCTTTTTTTTTGCCGTTTTGGGGTTTGAACTCAGGGTCTGCACCTTGAGCCACTCTACCACTCCTTTTTTGTGTTGGATTTTTTCAATAGGGTCTGTTGAACTATTTGCTTGGGCTAGTTTCAAACCATGATCCTCTTGGTTTTGCTTCCTGAGTAGCTAGAATAACAGGCATGAGCCACTTTGGCCCAGCTACCAGGCTGTTTTGGCAGTATTTGGTCCTCACAGCACCAACCCTGGAGGCAAGTTGTGATACCCAAATCCCAGGCCTGTGGGAGGATTAAATGAGTGTTCTCCTGGTTATCTTACTCATGGGGGCCTCTGCTTATTTGGGTTTTTTTTTTTAAGTAGTGGAGTTTAACTCAGAGCCACTCCCTCAGCCTTTTCCTGTGATGGGTTGTTTTTGTTTTGGTTTGGTTTGGTTAAATAGGGTATCTTGAACTACTTGCTGGGCTGGCTTCAAACCTTGATCTTCCTGATCTCTGCCTCCTGAGTAGCTAGGATGACAGGCATGAGCCACCAGTGTCTGGCTCAGATCTGGAATCTTATTACCTGTGAATGTTGAGTTCCTAAGATCCAGTCTATTTAGTCAGACCTCTTGGGGTAAGTGGGGTAAGGTGACCTTTCCTGGGAACCCACTGTGCACCAAGCCTGGGGTGCAACCCTGAATCAGGTGTCTCAGGCCCACTGAGACACTGCTGAGGCCTCTCCAACCCCTTTGCTGCCTTGTTAGAGCAAGGGCCAAGGGCAAAAGTGTTCAATCAGGGTGGGTTGGATGTGAAGATGGCCACTAGCTGTGCTGTGGGGCTATGTCACCCTGAGCATGCGCATGTCCTTGGAGTGGTGTGTGCCTCCCTTATTTGACTAAGTCATTCATCAAACACTTCCAAACAGACCTCTGGGCTTGGCATTACAGCATAACTGCAAGAGTCTGAGTCAAGGTCTTGGCTCTCACTTGCCTTGGGCTCCACTTCTCTGAGCTTTGGTTTCTCATTTGGAAAATGGAGTGATGTTGTAGGGCTGTGCTGGGCACAGAAGCAGCTCTGCTTGAGCTCGAGTCCATATGGAATACTGGGCCACTCCTTGTTCTAGGTGAGACAGAGGGATTAAAAGCAGGGTGGGGGGTACAGGACGGGGGTGACACAGGAAAGGGAGGCTTTGGATGTGCTGGCATATGGCTTGAGTGCACAGGTAGATGTGGGGAGGGTGACCGTGTGATGTGTACCCAAGAGTCAATGAATGTGCATCTGTCACCTCCAGGGAGACTCTGAGGGGAGAGAGCTGGATGAGGCCCTCCAGCCCAGACCTATCTCAGCTCTGGCTGTGACCAGTGTCTTAGAGGAGCAGCAGGTGGCGCTCCTGGCCTGGCTAAGACTCTCCTCACAACTCCCTCCCACCTCCTGAAACATAGCCACCTTTGTCAATCCCCGCCCCACACCAGTACAAGGCAGGGCAGAGTTCATGTATTCCTCACAGCCTGGCCTCTGTCTTGGCAGATGGTAGGCACTCCATGTGTATTTACTGAATGAATGAATGAACCCTGCATAATCATTATGTCCATATTACATTTGGGAAACAGGTTCAGAGAGGTAAAGTCACACATCCAAAGTAGCACAGCTCATAACTGGCAGAACTGGGATTTGAACTCAGGTACTATCATGACCCAGAGCTCTTCAGCTGCCAGGTTTGCTACTTCCACTAAAGCCAGCTCTTTTCAGCTCCTTATCTGATGGGTCCATCAGCCTTTCCCCATCCTCTACCTCCCCAAGGTGGCCATGGGTCTGAATTCCAATGGGCTTGGGAACAGGTTCCAGAGGTTGGTGTCTTAGAATTCTTGGGAGTCTTGAATGGCAGAGTTGGAGTTGCCCTCTCTCTCTGTAGATGTCTGACAAAGTCACAAGCAGGTAACGGTGTAAGGATGACTGTCAGGCGCTAAATAAATTAACTTAGGCAGGAACTAAGTTGCTCATACACACACTTTATTGCAGGGAGTTACAACCTAACACCCGACAGTGCCTCAGCCTTCCCCAAGCTGAGCTCACCTTGAGATGTGATCTTAGTCCCTTGGCTGCTGGCTCCAAACCAATCCTGGCTGGTTCTCAGTCTCGATCGCCTCTAGGAGCCCAGGGAATCTGACTGGCCGAGTGGAGAGTCTGGGTCTGCTCTCGACCGATGTGATGCGTGTTGTCTATCAGGAGGAAGTGGCAATGATCTCGTGGTGAGTGGAGTTCAAGTATTTGTAGAGGAGCGGTTTATCAGAGCCAGCTTAGGGTTGCTTCATTTGCATATCGGCACCAGCTTAGGGCTGGCTGATTTGCATATCGGCACCATATGGTATGTGTTTACATCATAGGGCTTCCGAGTGCACACGATATTATTTTCATATAGGTTTTACAGTGTATTATATTTTTATATAATTTTCAATATGTTTAATGCACATCAAACATAATACTCATAACACTGACCTTACACACTGTCCCCCTCAGGGGACCCCTTTTTTTTTTTAGCACTGGGTTTGAACTCAGGGCCTCTACCTCTTGAGTGACTCTGCCAGCTCTTTTTTTGTGAAGGGTTGTTTGAGATAGGGTCTCACAAGCAATTTGCCTGGGGGCTGGGTTTGAACGGAGTTGGCCTTTGTTCTCCAGACTTCCTTCTAAGGTCCTGCAGGACAAGCCAGGGGTCCCTGACCCCCAGAGACCATTCCTTCAGACCTATTCCTCCAGCGCCCCCTCCTGCCTACTCCATCTTTTGCCTTGGGGAAATTACTCCAATTTCAGCTCCATTCAATTTCTATTTCCTGATGACCGGCCCTGGCTGGGTGCTGGGACACAGGGGCAGAGACTAGAGTGGCCAAGGGCAAAGGCATCCAGTTCACCATCATCAGCCAATTACTTCTGTTCTCCCAGCCTCAGTTTCCCCCATCAAAATAGAGATACTGACAGCACCAACCTCATGGTGGTCCTGAGAGGGTGAATTAAGATAACTTAAGGAAAGTGCTTGGCCCCTGGCCTATGGTGGGGTTTAATAAACGTTTACCCTTCCCCCCAGACCCCACCGTGGGGAGCTCTGGTGAATGAGACACACATTCATGGTTCCACACATTTGTGCCTGGCACTGTGCTAGGTCAGTGCCAGTGCTGGGACAGCATGGACAGCTGAAGTAAGCAGGCCCAAGCTCTGCACTTCTGGGGTGCAGCCTAGCATGATGGAGGGAGATAGAGCAAAGCAGAACAGTCCACAGGCAGCAGGGGAATGGAGGCCAGGGCCCCGGCTGCCACCAGAGAGAGAGGGTCATCCTGAGGGAGGGTGGTCTCTACTCTACCACAAGGAATCTGACTCTCAGAGAACTGGGGTCGCCTGTGTGGGTGCACCTTGTCCCTTGCAGATCCATAGATCCTAGAAGTTAACACCTCCCCACCGTCCCATGGTGCTGTGTGGGTAAAAGGAGGCCCAGAGAGGGCCAGGCCCAGTCTGAGGTCACACAGCCTAAAATCTGCTCTGGAGACTAGGAAGCCTGGGTCTTGGATGACCTGGGGCCCATTCTGCAGGCTGGCCGGGTTGCGGGGCGATGCTAGAAGACACGCGAATGGAGCCCTAAAGGAGGCTACTGCTCCCACACACTCGATACTCAGAAGGTGCCAGGTCCAGGCCCTGGCATTGCATGCGAGGCCGAGGAGGTGCGTGCCGTGGGCTCCCGGCGTCAGCCAGGGGGCCCTGCGCCCCGGGGGCCCCCGCCGCCCGCTCTCGAGCCCTGGTCCGGGCCGCGCTGCCCAGGCTGCGGCCGGAGCGCGGGGCGGGCGCGGGGTCCCCGGGGCCGGGCGCGGGGCGGCGCGGGTTGGGGGGCGCTCGTCCGCCCCGCCCCGCCCTCCTCGCCCGCCCGCGCGGGGGGCGGCCCGGTGGCAGTGGCGGCGGCGGCGGCGGCGGCGGCGCACGCTTCCTGCGGGCGCGGCCGCTGTGGGCGCGGAGCCGCGAGCGAGCGAGCGAGCGAACGAGGCGGAGCCGGCGGCCGAGCGGAGCCCCGAGCCAGCAGCGTCGAGCGCCGCCGCGCAGCCCCGCCGCGCCCGGAACAAAGGCCCGGCCGCCGCCGCCGCCGCCATGAAGCCGGGGCCGCCGCACCGCGCCGGGGCCGCACACGGGGCAGGCGCCGGGACCGGGGCCGCCACCGCACCCGGGGCCCGCGGGCTGCTCCTGCCGCCGTTGCTGCTGCTGCTGCTCGCGGGGCGCGCCGCGGGGGTGAGTGACGCGCCGCCCCCGCCGCCCGGGACCCCCCCAACCCGACCCCGGGCCGCGTCCCGCAGCGCCCCTCCCCCACGCCGCCCGCCCCGCCCCGCCCCCCCCGCGCCCCCCCCCCCGCTAGCATCTGCGGGCCGGGGGCTCATCCCCCCTTCCCGGGAAGCCGGGCGGGAACCCGAGCGCAGGTCGTCCGCACTAGTGTCCGGTGCACCGCGTGGGGGTGTGCGGGGCAGGGGCCGGGTCCCCCGAGGCGCCGGGAGGGTCTGGCGGGCGCCCGGGTCGCCGCGCGGGCCGGGGCTGGGTGTGTCTGGGGCTGGAGCGAGCGTGGCTCCGGCCTCGTGGGTGTGCCCAGACGCGGGCACTTTTGGAGAATCGGGCCATTTCCCCTACCGAGGAGGGCGTGCATCTGCTTTCTCTCAGGGTCGCCTTCCCCAAGCCACCGGTGGGGCCGTGAGGGGGGGAGGGGGAGGAGGACTTGATGAAGGTGACCTGCCGGGGTGAATGAGGGTGACCCTGTGTGTGTGTCCACCTCAGAGAAGGATGCAAAGGCCTGTGGGCGTGTGCATGTGGAGGCTGTGTCCAGTACGTGGGGGGGGCCGCTGTGTAGCCCCGCATTGTGCATGTGTGTCAGCGTGGCCATGGCAGTGTGTCTCCGCGGGGTGGTGGGGCGGGGGAGACCTCTGTGGTGGGCGTGCGCTTGCACCCTTGGGAACGTGTGTGAGTGCGCTCAGGAGCGCATGGGTGCGACTGGTGCATGGGCGGCCGTGGCATGGGGCAGGGACCCCTGAGGGGCCACGTGCATGCAGGAAGAGGTGCGTGTGTATGAGGTGACCGCTGGCTGTCCCTTCCAGTGGCCCCAGCTCCATTGGGAAGCAGGAGGAAGAGGGTCAGGGAGGAGGAGCTGCATCCCCCCTCAGAGGGACCCAAGTCCCCAGTAGTTCCTCATAGGCACATTTACAGGTGGAAGGTGGGGCAGGCTGGAGATTTCTAGGTCCCACCCCCTTGGGTTGGCTCCAGGAACAATGCTGTCCCCACCCACTTGCCCAGCCTCTCAGGGGACCCCCTGGTGCCCAACCTGTTTGCATGCCTCTTCCCAGTGTGAGCCCAGTGGCCAGTCCCTAGGGAGGACAGGCGGGACTCCAGGTGGCTTCTTGGATCCACAGGCTCCTCAGGCTGCCAGCTGGGGGGAGGGGACCCGTGTAAGATGCCTGGTGGCCCATGCCTCATCCCCAGTTTTCCAAGTGGGGTGTGGGAGGAGGTCCCTGGGAGGTAAGTGCCCCACTACCCTAGCAGCTGGGGGGTTCTAGGAGCCCATCCGTAACATCACAGTTCTGGGCTTCAAATCTGGGCACTACCACCTGTGCATAAGGTGATCTCTGGCAAGTCATCCATTCTCTGAGCCCCAGGGTGCCCTCTGTGAAACAGGGATGCTGATGCCTCCTCAGAGGAAGAACAAAGTGGGACCAAAGGAGTCAGGAAGTTTGGTGAAAGTGAGCTGTATCTTGGACAAAGTGCTCTCGTCAGAGGCCCTGGGGAGAGGCCCTGGGCAAGGCCCGTCCCTCCAGGAATGGCTGTTCACCCATGGGCAAGGATAGTAATTCACACCCATGAGGTGGTGGAAGGAATTCAAGGAGAGCATGGAAGGACCTGGCACACAGTAGGACCTCAACCGGCGGGGTAGGGACCCTAAAGCTGAGGATGAGGTGTGGGTGGGTGGTGGTTCAGAGCCAGTGCTGGGCTGCAGCACAGGCAACTTGCCCACCCACCCTGGACCGGGAGCTCCAGGTGGCCTGGCAGAGTGGAGGTGGGACTGAGGCAGGGTGGGTTCCAGGTAACCTCTAGGTCTCAGGAGCCAGGCTGTTAAGGAAGGGCTCCACCCTCTCGCACCTCACCTTGGAGGCGAAGTGTTAAGAGGTGTGCCTGGATGCTGCCCAGAGGAGATGTGTCTGCAGCAGGAGGGACAGGGGTCTGACCAGAAGAACCCGCCTGGTTGTGGGTGGTGGGTAGCATCTGTGATGGGGGCCTCTAAGGACATCATGGGATGGGCAGTGGCTGGCTTGGGAGGGAAGGGACAACATGACCCCTGGGTTTACCTGCCAGCCTGACAGGCAGCGGGGAAGGTTCCAGGGAGGAGACCACAGGTCTCACTCAGGTTATTGGTGGTGAGGCATATGGTGTGTGTGTCCTGGCATCTCTGTAGGGCATTTTCTGTCCTGAGAGAGACCAGGAGACCAGGACTCTGAGGGACATCTGCCTTGAGGGCTACCTCAGCTGTTATTTTTCAATCACTACCAAAAATAACTTCAGTATGAGGACCCTGGAAATTTTAGCTCTTAAAACTTGTTCAGGTCTGAAAGGTGTTCCTGAAAGGTGTTCAGTAGTTAGGTGTTCCTTGGTCTTATTTGAATCCTTTCAGTGATGGGAGTTCATTAGTTTGTGGCTGTGTGACCTTGTGAAAGTTACTTCACTTCTCTGTGCCTTAGTTCCCACCTCTTTAAAATGGGGAGAATAGGGGAAAGCATTAGCGCCATGGAGGCACATGCTAAGTGCTCAGCAAATGCCTCCTGGGGGGAGGCAGTTCTGCTCTCTCACCTGTCAGCTGGAGACCAACACCTGACTTAAAGAACTGCTGTGGGGGAGAAGACAGTACTGGGATTTGAACTGGGGCCTCCTGCTCTCTGGGGAGTGGCTTGTGTTTCTTTTTGGGTCCTTGTGTTGAGGCTGGTGGCAGGAGAGCTCAGCTGGAGGAAAGCATGTGGCCTTAGAGGATTGGGCATGGCATCTCCAGAGTGGCAAGAGGGGACACCTATGGGAAAAGCAGTGAGAGTGGTCATCCTGCCTCCAGGTGTGGAGGAAAGAAGGAGGGCTTGGAGCCTGGTGGCCACAGGTCTTCCTGCCCCCTATAGCTGCTGAGAGAGAGGACTGGTCATTTCCTAGGGCTGCAATAGGATCCTGAAGGCTGGAGCCAACTGGGCCAGCTGGGGACAGGAGGCCACAAAGTCACCACCCCTGGGAAGGGGAGAAACAGAAGCCACAGCCAATGCTGGGAAGAGCCCCACCCACTGAGCGCTTTCTGTGATTGGCTACTTCGTCTTTAGGGTAATCTTATGACATAGGAATTATCAGAACTCCCTTTACAGATGAGGAAACCAAGGCACAGAGATGGTAAGTGACTTGCTCAGAGTCACATGGTAATGGAGCTGAATTGAGCCAGGGTCTGATAGGCTAATGGAATTGGGCCATAGTTCTAATTTCCACACCCTCTTGCTGCGTGATCTTAGGCAATTTACTTCACCTCTCTGGAGCCGCCCTACTCCCCAAATTATGCCCATATTAGCTATTGTTTATGTATGAAATTTTCTTTTTCTTTTTTTGGTGGTGGTACTGGGGTTTGAACTCAGGGCCTTGTGCTTGCTAGGCAGGTGTTCTACTCCTTGCCACACCCCAGCTCTTTTTTGCTTTAATTTTCGGTTAGGGTCTTGTGCTTTTTGCCTGGGGCTGGCTCAAACCTCAGTCCTGCTACCTATGCCTCCCACATTGTTGGGATTACAGGTGTAATCACCATGCCCAGCTTTGCTTGAGAGAGGGTCTCACTCACTTTTTGCTGACCTTAAACCATGATCCTCCTGATCTTTGCCTGTTGAGTAGCTGGGATTATTGGCATGTGCCACTGTGTCTAGCTCCTTTTTTTTCTTTTTTTTTTTTGACAGGGTTTCTCTATGTAGCCCAGGCTGGCCTTGAATTTGAGGACCTCCTGCCTCAGCCTCTCTAGTGCCAGGGTTATAGGCAGGTGTCACCATACCTGGCTGTCAGTTATTGTTCTTAATAGGTGCCTGCTTTTACCAGGAAGGTGCCATATCTTTTCTCATTTAATTCTCCCATAGTCTTAGTTATTAATGTTGGAAGGAGCTTCCTCTACTGCCTCACAGGCTGTGTCATCTGTAGAGGGGCCACTGCAAGGGTGTCTGGGGACAGGTAGGAAAGCCTTGTTAACTGTGAAGTGTTGTTGACACGATCCTATGTGTGTGAGGGGCTCATGTTGAGGCCCTGTGGTAGGGCACAGAGGGGAAATGTCGGGAATGTCGGGACAAGAGGGCTCTCACATTCCCCTGGATATGCCCCGATGCCCCAGCGTTGGGTGCTTGCTCTGAAAAGTGCCCAGATAGGACTGCCTTTCGTCCCCTCTGATCCTTAGAAAGCTGCGTAGAGCCCGAATCCCTGCATGCTGGCCCCGCACAGTCTCTCTGGCCTGACTGAGTGGGGATCAGTCAGTCATGAGTGGCAAACCCTGAGCTGAACTCCAGGGCCGCTTGGTGCCTACATAGAAGGGTTCAGATGGGTAAACGAGTGCAGGAATAGACGTAGGAAGCCAGGGCCATCAGCTGCCCCCTCCTGTGTGTGTATGTGTGTGGGGAGGGCAGTGAGGCTGGTTGGCAGGGTCCTGCTGGGTCCAAGTCACGCCGTGGGCTGGGAGGCGCCAGGGGGCTGTCTAGGGCTGGCCTGTGGTCTGAGCACCCAGGCTCTGCAACTACCATGTCTGGTGGGGACAGAGGGACTGTGGCTTTGGCCTCCAGCCCAGCTTTGTAGAGAGCCCTGTGATTTTGTGCTGGGGGCAGGGCAGCCAGAGCTAAGGGTTGCCAGGGCCCAGCCCCTTGCTCCCCCAGCCTTCCTAAACCCATGTCAGTCAGAGCAGGATCTGGGCTGGCTCTAGGCCTCCTGGCTGGCCTTGCTAGTCCCCTCAGACTTCTGTCCCCGTAGTACTGCCCCATTCCTGGGAACATCAGTCTTGTTGACTGACACCCCTACAACTTGCCTTTGCTCCCAGCCTCCCAAGATTCCAGGAGGCTGGGGAGCCTTCACTTCCGGCCCCCCTCCCTACAGAGCAGGCCCCAGCCAGAGGGGTGGTCACTCCCCTCCCCCACTGACCAGGCCCAGTCTCAGTGCCAAACAGGAAGCCATGATTACAGGGGGTCTGAGCAGCCATGGCCCAGGGCCCAGCT